GCGAGACCTCATCTCTACAACAAATCAAAAAATCAGCCGGGCGTGGTAGCGCATGCCTGTAATTCTGGCTACTTGGAAGGCTGAGGCTGAAGGATCGCCAGAGCCCAACAGGTCGAGGCTGCGGTGGCTGGGAGTGGCCACTGCACTCCGTCTGGGCGACAGAGTGAGACTCCAACTCAAAAACAAAACAAACAAACAAAAAAAAATGGTGGTTGGAGTTGAGAAAGTGCCAGTTGAGTGAGGACTTAGTGGAGATGAGGTAGCTACATCTTTTGAGAGTGAGATAGTCATTTGGGATTTATTCTTTCTTTGGGCAAATTAATTGGAACAGAGAACCTAATTCTTATATTGGAGATGCTGGCGGTATTCCATGGGGCTGGTGGGAAGCTATGGAGTGGTTAGTGTTTTATAGCAGCTGCCATCTTCAGTCTCTGTTTCATAGAGAGGGTATAACAGGTTGGCATAACGATGTCTGGGATGGGGACTTGTGATGTTCTGGGTGAGAAGGATTACTTGACCAGTGAAACCTGCCTGGGCCTGAACTTCTTTCCTGCAATACTCGTCTTCTTTTTTTTTTTTTTGAGGTGGAGTCTCACTCTGTCACCCAGACTAGACTGTAGTGGCCGTTCCTGGCCACTGCAGCCTCGACCTGCTGGGCTCCGGTGATCCTTCTGCCTCAGCCTTCCAAGTAGCTGGAACTACAGGTGTGTGCTACCATACCTGACTAATTTTTGATTTATTGTAGAGATGAGGTCTCGCCAAGTTGCCCCGGCGGGTCTCGAACCCGCGGGCTCAGGGAATCCACTCACCTCGGACTCTCAAAGCGCTGGGATTACAGGCTGAGCCACCGAGCCCGGCCAATACTCATCTTTAAAGAACTTCATGAAACATCCCATAACGCAGACCAGATCCTAAGAGTCCTCCATAATGAATGGCACCTGCACTCCCTTTTAGCCTCTCAGACTGAGTTAGAGCTCAACAGAAAGCAAGAGTTCAGAGACCATGAGGAGGCCCTTGTCACCACCTAAAATTACCTCTGCCCTTAGAGTTGCTCCTTTGGCATAGGTCTGAATCAAAAAAATTCTACTTCCGCCGAGCTCGGTGGCTCAGCCTGTAATCCCGCGCCTTTGGGAGGCTGAGGTGAGTGGATTGCCCGAGCCCGCGGGTTTGAGACCCGCCTGGGCAGCGAGACCTCATCTCTACAATAAATCAAAAAATTAGCTGGGCGTGGTAGCACGTGCCTGTAGTTCCAGCTACTTGGAAGGCTGAGGCAGAAGGATTGCCGGAGCCCAGCAGGTCGAGGCTGTGGTGGCCGGGAGTGGCCACTGCACTCCAGTCTGGGTGACAGAGTGAGACTCCAATTAAAAAAAAAAAAAAAAAAAAGATTCTACTTCCATAGCACCTGGGAGTTCCTCTGCCAGAACTGATGTTCTATTTCAATTGCTTGTTCAATTGTCTGTCTTTCCAACTAGATGTAAGCTCCATGTTTGTGGAGAACTTGTCACATCTGTCTTGTTCACTGTTCTACCTTCAGTACCTGGTCCAGGGTCTGGCACATAGTAAGTGCTCAGTAAATATTGCTTGATTGAGTAAACAAGCGAATGAATATGCCTAGGTGGAACTATTGACTTTGTCATACTCTGACAAAGAATATGAGTTACTTTTACATACTTTAATAACAGGGAGCAAGCATTGAAGGGATAGGACACAGTACATGTAAATTTTTATGAAACTGAGGAAGGAGGGAGATTTGGGGTTTTAGATGGATCAGTGAGGAGGAAGTGATGTGAAGAAGTTAATCAACAAAAGTGTGGGAGATACAGAACATGCTGCCACCTGTGCTGCTTTTGAAGGTGTGTCTTGCTGGCAGACGCCTTGCAATTGGAAGCTCAGGAGGCACAAGGGAAGTTACTGTGGTATGGTAAACAGAAAATAAGCTTCGGAGTTAGAGGACCTGAGCTCAGGACTGGGCTCTGTCGTCTACTGTGTGACTTTGGGCCTTTTGGAGCATCCATTTTGTCATTTTTTCCATAGGGAGAACTATTCCTACCTGATACTACTGTAGAGAGAATGATACTGCATTTAAAACGCTTTGCACGGTCTTTAATAGTATATGCCCAGAAAATGTTATTTTTCTGTTTTGCTATCCTTTCTTCATTTCCCCCTTTTCTCTGTCCTACCTTCCAAACCTTCCATTGCCATTTTATTTTCTTCTTTTTCCTCCTCTTCTTTTCTCCACTTTCATTGTTTTACTTTTCAGCATCTAGTCCAGGGTCTGGCACATAATAAGTGTTCAGTAAATATTCATTTATTTTATTCTTTTAATTGTCTTGTCCTTCTAGCCTGACTCTCTTCCTCCTCTTATTTTTCCATTTATCTTGGCCGGATTGGCAGAAGTTATATACTTCTCCGATTTTCTTTCCCTTTTTTCTCTCCTACTTCTTCTCTTTCCTCCTCCTCCTCTTTTGCCTCCTTTATTTCTCTCCCCATTTTCTACTTCATTCTTCTCCTTTTTTCTCTCTTTATCTTCTTGTCTTCCTTGCTAGAGACAGAATACAGAATCAGCAAGGCTCATGGTTGTTTCTTGAATCTTGACTCTGCTTTCTGCTTTCTCTAAGGCACCTGCTCTTTCCCAGCCTCACCAGTTCTCTCGGTTGCTCATGCCCGCCACAGCTATGCTAGGTCTTTCAGCGGTCTCAGAGACTCCCTTTGTTCCTCTCCCCTCTCCCTTTCTCTCCCTCCCTCCCTCCCTGATTACAGATTTTTAAAATGTTAAGCAAAAATAAATACAACTAATAGAGGAATTTCGATTATATTACTTTTAAAAATATGGTCAAATTCGAATTTATATGACATAAAATATACCATTTGAACTATTTCAGTGGCATTTAGTACTTTTACAAGCTCATGCAACTGTCACTACTATCTAGGTCTGGAACATTTTTATCATTGCAAAAGGAAACCCCAAGCCCATCAAGCAGTCATTCACTATCTTCCTCTACCCTCAGCTCCTAGCAACCAGTAATTTGCTTTTTGTTTCTATGGATTTATATTTCATATGAATGGAATCATACAACAAGTGGACTTTGTGTCTGGCTTCTTTCACTTGGCATAATGTTTTTGTAAAAAAATTTTAGACTCTCCGCACTTACCGCATTCATTCACTCTACCTACCTCACTGGCCCCCCATCCATGTCCGCAGAAATGCTCCAATTACCCAGTCCTTTGCCAGATGAGACCAATGTCCTGAGCCCTGGCTCCCCATCTCACTGAAGCCTATGCCAAAGATGTAAAATTCGATGCAGAAGCCCGAGCCTTAATGCTGCAAGACCTTTTAGCCGTCGCTGTAGCAGTTATAGTGGGGCCAAAGGGAAGAACAGTGATTATTGAACAGAGTTGGGGAAGTCCCAAAGTAACAAAAGATGGTGTGACTGTTGCAAAGTCAATTGACTTGAAGGATAAATATAAAAACATTGGAGCTAAACTTGTTCAGGATGTTGGTAATAACACAAATGAAGAGGCGGGGGATGGCACCACCACTGCTACTGTGCTGGCATGCTCTATTGCCAAGGAAGGCTTTGAGAAGATCAGTAAAGGCGCTAATCCAGTAGAAATCAGGAGAAGTGTAATGTTAGCTGTTGATGCTGTCATTGCAGAATTTAAGAAGCAGTTCAAACCTGTGACAACCCCGGAAGAAATTGCTCAGGTTGCTACAATTTCCGCAAATGGAGATAAAGAAATTGGCAACATCATTTCTAATGCTATGAAAAAGGTCGGAAGAAAGGGTGTCATCACAGTAAAGGATGGAAAAACACTAAATGATGAATTAGAAATTATTGTAGGCATGAAGTTTGATCAAGGTTATATTTCTCCATACTTTATTAATACATCAAAAGGTCAGAAATATGAATTCCAGGATGCTTATGCTCTATTGAGTGAAAAGAAAATTTCTAGTACAATTTCAAATTGTACCTGCTCTTGAAACTGCCAGTGCTTACCGTAAGCCCTTGGTCATAATTGCTGAAGATGCTGATAGAGAGGCTCTCAGTACACTCATTTTGAATAGGCTAAAAGTTGGTCTTCAAGTTGTAGCAGTCAAAGCTCCAGATTTTGGTGATAACAGAAAGAACCAACTTAAAGATATGGCTATTGCTACTGGTGGTGCAGTGTTTGGTGAAGAGGGGCTGACCCTAAATCTTGAAGATGTTCAGCCTCATGACTTAGGAAAATTTGGAGAGGTCATTGTAACCAAAGATGATGCTATGCTCTTGAAAGGAAAAGGTGACAAGGCTCAAATTGAAAAATGTATTCAAGAAATCATTGAGCAGTTGGATGTCACAACTAGTGAATATTAGAAGGAAAAGCTGAATGAACATCTGGCAAAGCTCTCAGATGGAGTAGCTGTGCTGAAGGTTGGTGGGACAAGTGATGTTGAAATGAATGAGTAGAAATACAGGGTTACAGATACCCTTAATGGTACATGAGCAGCTGTGGAAGAAGGCATTGTTCTGGACGGGGGCTGTGCCCTGCTTCAGTGCATTCCAGCCTTGGACTCATTAGCTCCAACTAACAAAGATCAAAAAATTGGTATATAAATTATTAAAAGAACACCCCAAATTCCTGCAATGACCATTGCCAAGAATGCAGGTGTTGAAGCCTCTTTGATAGTTGAGAAAATTATGCGGAGTTCCTCAGAAATTGGTTATGATGCTATGATTGGAGATTTTGTGAATATGGTGGAAAAAGGAATCATTGACCCAACAAAGATTGTAAGAACAGCTTTATTGGATGCTGTTGGCGTGGCCTCTCTGTTAACTATGGCAGAAGAAGAGAAGGACCCTGGAATGGCCGCAATGGGTGGGATGGGAGGTGGGATGGGTGGTGGCATTTTCTAACTCCTAGAATAGTGCTTTGCCATCATTAATGAACTGTGACAGGAAACTCAAGGCAGTGTCCTCCCCAATAACTTCAGAGATGTCAATTGAAGAAATTATTGAAGAAAAGGCTGACTAATTAAGATCACTATAGCCGTCATCTACTGGTTTCAGTTGACAATATATAATGGTTTATTGCTGTCATTGTCCATGCTTACAGATAATTTATTTTGTATTTTTACAAAAAGACATTTGTACATTCCTGATACTGGGTGCAAGAGCCATGTACCAATGTACTGCTTTCAACTTAAATCACTGAGGCATTTTTACTACTGTTCTGTCAAATCAGAATTTTAGTGCTTGCCATCACCAGATGAGAAGTTCAGAAGCAGCCTTTTCATGGAGAGTATGAATAACTGTACAAAGTAGAGAAATATCAATTATGTGACAACCTTTGTGTAGTAAAACTTTGTTTAAAGTTAAAAAAATTTTTATTTTAAATATGTGGAGTACAATTTAGGGTTAGGTATACAAATGTTCATTATGCAGGTACCCTTGTTGATGGGGTGTGCTCCCCCTCCCCTGACAGTTTCCACTACTGTCAATCCCACCCCTGCTCTTCCCTGGCAGTTTTCTACTACTGCCAATCCCTTTCTTATAGTATTACGATGGTTGTTCAAGTTCTGCTTATGAGTGAAAATGTGATACTCGGTTCTTTGTTTCTGTGATAGATTACTCAGTATTATAGACTCTAGGTCCATCCAAGTAGCTGTGAAGTTCATAATTTTGGCCTTCTTTATGACTGCATAATAATCTGTTATGTATATGTACCATATATTTTTTTAATCCAGTTCTCTTTTGATAGACAGCACGGTTGTTCCATGTTTTTGCTATTGTGAATAATACTGCAATAAACATGTGTGTAGGTATCTTTTACATAGAGTGATTTGAGTTTCTCTGGGTATATTCGCATAGGGGGATTGTAGGGTCATATGGGAGGTCGATTTTTAGATCTTTTAGGAACTGCCAAACTATTTTCCACAGAGATTGTATTAGTTTACACTTCCACTAATAGTGTAGAAGTGTTCCCTTTTCCCTGCATCCTCTCCAGCATCTGTCGTTTTTTTGAGTATTTGATGATGGCCATCCTAACTGGAGTAGGGGGTATCTCAGTGTGGTTTTAGTTTGTATTTCTTTGATGACTAGTGAGACTGAACATTTTTTATTTATCTGTTGGCTGCTCATATGTCTTCTTTTGAGAAGTGTCTGATCATATCTTTTGCCCACTTTGTAAGGAGCTGTTTTTTTCTTTTCGGCACATTTGAGTTCCCTGTAGATCCTGGATGTTAGGCCTTTGTCAGATATTCAGTTGGCAAATATTTTTTCCCATCCTGTGGGTTGTCTCCCCGCTTTCTTGATGACTTCTTTGACTTTGCAGAAGCTTGTCAGTTTGATGAGGTCCCACTTGTCTATCTTATCTCTTATGGCATGGGCACTTGGGGTTTTGATGAGGAATTGGTTGCCAGTTCCAATTTCCATAAGGGTGTCTCCTGTATTTTCTAATGTTCTTATAGTTTGAGGTTTTATGTTTAGGTCTTTGATCCATTTAGAGTTCATTTTTTTGTATGGTGATAGGTAGGGGTCTTGTTTTAATCTTCTGCATGTGGTCAGTCAGTTTTCCCAGCACCATTTACTGAATAGGTTCTCCTCTTCCCTGTGGTTGTTGTTGACTTTGTCAAAGATGGGTTGAGAAATTGAAGCTTTGCTTCTGGAATCTCTATCCTGTTTCATTAGTCTATATGCCTGTTCTTGTACCAGTACCATGCTCTTTTGATTACTGTAGCTTTATAGTAAAGTTTGAAGTCTGGAAGTGTGATACCTCCTGCTTTGTTTCTTTTGCTAAGGATTGTTTTTGGCTATTAGTGTTCATTTATGTTTCCATATGAATTTCTGTATTGTCATTTCCATATGAATTTCTGTATTGTCATTTCCATATGAATTTCTGTATTGTCATTTCTGTATTGTCATTTAATGGGTATTGCATTGAACCTGTAGACTGTCTTTGGTAGGATGGACATTTTAACAATGTTGATTCTTCCTATCCATGAGCATGAATATTTTTCCATTTGTTTGTGTCTTCTTGGATTTCTTTGAGCAGTGTTTTGTAGTTCTCATTGCAAAGGTCTTTCGCTTCTCTGGTTAGGAAGATGCCGAGGTATGTCATTTTTTGTGTGTGGCTATTGTGAATGGTATTGTGCTTTTAATTTGGGTCTCTGCCTGCTTGTTGTTGGTATATAGAAATGCAAGTGTCTTTTGCACATTTATTTTGTACCCTGAGACTTTGCCAAAGTCCATCATCAGTGTGAGCAGGTTTTTGAAAGATTCTCTTGGATTTTCAAGGTACAGGATCATATCATCAGCAGAGAGGAATAACTTGACTTCCTCTTTTCCTATTTGGATACCCCGATTTCCTTCTTTTGTCTAATTGTCCCAGCTAGAACTTCCAACCAATGTTGAACAAGATGGCTGAGAGTGGGCAGCCTTGTGTTGTTCCAGTTTTCAGAGGATATGTTTCCAGTTTCTGTCCATTTAGCAATATGTTAGCTGTGGGTTTATCGTAAATGGCACTTACTATTTTGAGATATGTTCCTTCCATACCTAGATGTATGAAGGTTTTTATCAAGAAGGTATGTTGGATTTTATCAAAAACTTTTTCTGCATCTAATGAGATAATCATGTGGTTCTTATTTTTACATCTGTTGATGTATTTATGACATTCATGGTCTTGCAAATGTTGAACTAGCTCTGCATCCTGGGGATGAAGCCTACTTGGTCATGGTGGATGATTTCTGAGATGTGTTTTTTTTTAATCTAATTTGCGAATCTTGTTGAGGATTTCTGCACCTGTGTTCATAAGGGATATTGGCCTATAGTTTTTTTTTGTTGGTTCTTTACCCAGTTTGGGTATCAGTGTGATGTTAGCTTCGTAAAATGATTTGGGGAGAATTCCATCTTTCTCAGTTGCATGGAATACTTTCAATAGGATTGATGTCAGCTCCTCCTTGTATGTTTTGTAGAATTCTGCTGAAAGCCATCCAGTCTAGGGCTTTTTTTTTGGTAGGTAGTTTTCATATGACAGAGTCAATTTCCTGGGTGGTTATTGGTCTATTTAGTGTCTCAGTGTCTTCTTGTTTCAACCTAGGGAGGTTGTGTGATGTCAGAAAGTCTTCCATTTCATTTAGGTTATCAAGTTTGTATTCATATAGGTGTACATAGTAATCTCTGATAATCTCTGATAATCTTTTGTATTTCTTCAGACTCAGTTGTGTTTTGATCTTTTCTATTTCTGATTGTGTTTATTTGGGCCTTTTCTCTCTTTTTCTTGGTCATTCTGGCTAGGGGGCCATCAATCTTGTTAATTCTTTCAAATCAGCTTTTTGTTTTGTTGATGTTTTCTATGATATTTTTGTCTTCTATGTCCCCTATTTGGACTCTTATTTTGGTGATTTGGATTCTTGGGGTTTTGGTGTCTTCTCTTTCCAGCTCCCTTAGGTGATTTGTTAGGGTCTCCACTTGAGATCTTTCCTTTTTCTTGATGTGTGTTCATGGAGATATGAATTCCCCTCTTAGAACTGCTTACATGGCATCCCAGAGGCTTGGTAAGATGTTTCTTCATTTTCATTTGTTTTCAGGAATCTTTTAATTTTTACTTTGATTTCAGTGTTGACCCAGTAGTTGTTCAGCATCATGTTGTTTAGTGTTCATGTCTTTGTGGGCTTTGGGGAAATTTTGTTGGTGTTGATATTTATTTTTATTCCACCGTGGTCTGGGAAGGTGCATGGCAGTATTTCAACCTTATGGGATTTGTTTATACTTGATTTATGGCCAAGGATGTGATCAATCTTGGAGTACATTCCATGTGGTGATGAGTAGAATGTATATTCAGTGGTTGTGGGGTGGAATAATCTGTAGGTATCTATTAAGTCCATTTGGTCGAGTGTCAAGTTTAGGTTCTGGGTCTCCTTGTTGATTTTTTGCCTTGATGATCTATCTAGGGCTGTTAGTGGGGTATTCAAGTCCCCTGCTATAATAGTGTTAGAGTCAATATCTTTTTTTAGTTTGCTTAGTAGTTGCTTTATAAATGCTGGTGCTCCTGTATTGGGTGCATATATATTTAGGATGGATTTTTCTTGTTAATGGATTGAACTTTTTATCATTATGTAGTGTCCTTTTGCATCTTTTAAAATTTTTTGATAGCTTGAAGGTTGTTTTGTCTGATATTAAGATCGAGACTCCTTCCTTCTCTTATGGTCAGGCTAATTATTGAGATGTGAGAGTTTATCCCTGTCGTGAGTTCTTATAGAGTGTGTTGTTGTTGCTGCTATTTGTTTGTTGTCTTTCTTTTGCTATTTGGATTGAATTATGTGTGTTCTCAAACATTTTCCTGCGTTCTTGGGAAGTGCATTGTTCTTTTTCTTCCTTTCTTCTGTGTTTAATACTTTCTTATGTATTTCTTGTAGAATTCTGAAGCTGAACTGGGGTGGGACGCTGTGCTTTTTGCAGTTTTGAGATTTAATTAAGGGGGGAGCTGTGATTCAGAAGCTATCTGAAATTCCCAGTATCCACTGACAGGTGTGTGGGCCACCTGATACCTAACCTCTACTGCCTTATAATCTGTCCATGCAGTGTGGGTGTCTGTTTGACCCATGAAAGCAAAATGAGATAAGAAAGAGTAAAGAATGGAAAAAGGAAGGAGGAAGATGAAAGGAAGGTGGAGAGAGAGAAGAAGAGGGAAAACAGATGTACCAACCAACAAATAAACAGAGAAACAAAGACAGAAAAAACAAAAAGACACAAACATACAGACAACCATACAAACAACTGTTGGCGTACTCTCCCTCAAAAATACCCATACACAAGCAGAATCCCAAAAATAAATAAATAAAATAACAGAAACACAGCAAGCACAAAAATGTAAACAAAAACAGAAAGAAAGAGAGAAGAAAAAATAAAAAACTAAAAAAAAAAAGAAAACAAGAAAGAATACTTGCTCTGTTGCCATTTCTGTAACTCCAGGTTTCTTTCAGCTGCCAGCTCCTCCTTAGAGAGTGGCTCTGGTCTCCAGTCCCTCCTCTCCACTCTCAGTGCAGGCTGATAGGGTTGCTCTCAGTGTGGGTCAGATACCCCATGGACTACTGTGGGAGGAGGATGAATCAGATCTGAACTCACTGTACTCACTGCTGCTGCTGTCAAGTCTCCTACTCAGATCTCATGTGCCTGTGCCTGTTCCAGTGTGGGGAGGGCCGTCTGTCTCTCTGAGTTTGATGAGAGGATAGCCTCTGGGTCCCAAAATGGAGGATGGGCAGAACTGAGTGAGGCTGTGTAGGTCTCTGCCCAGTCCCGGGACTGAGAAGATGGTGCCTGTTGGCATCTTGTCATCAGCTTTGGTGTCTTATTCCAGATTTCCTGCCTTCTCCATGGTTCCTCC